TTTTCAATTTGGTAATGCACATGAGAAGTGGAAATATGCTCCGTTTTGTGTATGGACCACCTGTCTTCAAAACGGAATAACAGACTATATATACCTAAAAAATGTCCTCCGAATGTTTCAGAGTATTTCTGTTTCTTGAATTATTAAACAGAAAGCAAACTATAGACGGCTGATTTGCCTAACCCTAAGCAGGTTGCCTATCCTACCTTTTCTAAAAGTCATTTAATTGAAAGTATTATTTGCATTTTGAGTCAGTGCTGACCTATCCTTTAGAGAACTGGGGCACACGTGACACGTTTTGATGGACGAAACAATTACATGTCCACTGGTCTCTAACTTCTCCTTCATCTATGTAAAGAGAAGCCCAATAACATAAACCAGATGTGGAACACTTTTGCAGCTAATCAAGTCATTTGCGTTTGCGCCATATGTGATGCTAAGTCTGTTGTCGTAAAAAACTTTGGTTACGCATAATCCGTAGAAATCATACAGTAACTAGTATTTTGTCTTTTGGATGGTGTTACGTGATATTTTCTTACGCCATCCACTTTACAAAATAACCAGTTTGGCTCAGTAGCGGCAAATATTAAAGTAATAAGATGTTCAAAGCCATCATTAAAAGCTTATCATTGCTTTACTTCCTAATCGTAGGTAATCACACACCACGGTTTGTATGACACATAATCCAAGGTAACGTGGCCTAAGTTTCTGCTTTTCTTTAGTCACCCATTTTGGTGGTAAAACGGGGATAACTCAACATTGTAAGTTATGCGTGGTAAGGGATGAGTGCAGATGTTCGGGAAAGACAACCGAGTAGCGGATTTTGTTAATCTTCGCGCAATCAAGACGACGTTCATTGCACAGAAGTGTCACTGACCACACTATTGAGCCAGATGTTTCAGCGTTTTCAATCACAGTTTTAACGTTTTCAGACAGAAAGCAGGTAAGATAATGACTAGCACAGCTGGCTTAAGTTTTAGCACTCTGATGACAAGTTTGCTGCTGACGGTTGCCGTGGCACTTCATTGTACCTACTACTAACCAAGTTTTTGAGATAAATAGTTGTGCACCAAGAAAAAAAGATGATGTGCCCATCGCAACTTAAACGGTGCGACCGTCTTTCTTATCATCAGCAAGCTGCCTATTCAAAATTCATTTAAATTGCCTGCTATTTTAAAGATAATACACCTTACTTTAATGAAAAAATGAACAAACCCTTGACAGGTACGGCGGTAGCCGCTAGCTACAACTGCATCAGTTTTTCAGATAACAATCAAGTGTGTGTTGGTGTGACCCTAGTGGCTCATCTGAAAAATATTCTGACTTAATGGTGAGTATGTTTTGCGTACATGCATCTAATCGATATTCGAACCTCAGACATAGATAATTTGTTTACCACAAGCCATCAGATTAGACTAGAGTCGTGCTGATATATGAACAAGAACGAAGTTCGATCAACTGAAAACGTAAGCCAAGCGGTTCACTTCCATTACAGTTATATTTGTTTCGTTAACTTTATTAAGGATGCACGTATCCACTTTTGACATATGTGCGTGACAAAACGAAATCTATGATACCTCGCATGGTGTAGCACCAGTCTGAGAAGTATTAGTCTAGAGGCTTGGTCGAACGTTGATTAACTTACTTTATATTAACGCCATTGCCATCAGAAACGATCTTTGATGTAAGTAATTTTTGTGCCGTTAAATGGATATGCACCCTTTTAATATAATGCGTCTCAATGATTCTTCTTCTTAAGCTGGAAAATGTAAGGTATGTGATGAACAATCTAATTACAGCAATAAAAGGCCCAGTCGCTAATAGCCAGAACGACACTGTACAAACTTCTTTGGAATAGAAAGCCTAAAACCAAATGTTTCAGGAGCCGTCAATGATCTTAAGTGACCAAGCTAATTCAATGAAATGTGTCTCCAGCGTGTGCTTCAAAAGACAGGATTCTTGTGACGACTGGGGGAGTACCACGTATGTCAGGTCTACCTTGAAACCACCCGGGTTTTTGTCATTTCTGGACGTAAAACGGTAATAAATTATGTCATCTATCTCAAAGACCGTACAAATGCATTCTGCAGTAGCCAGTGAACAGCACGTTTCACTGAAGCAAACGAATTGCAAGATGCTTAACTAATTACCTTGACAACATAATCCTTCTTTTTATACATATTTTGTAAAAAAATAGGTAAAAGTTTCCATTCCACAGATTCTGTCGGATGTTTTTCAGATGTGATAGCAAAGTGTCGTTTTCACTTTTGCCAGAAAGATCATCTTTCCTGCTTAACAAATCTCGGATCTTTTTTGCTAACAATGCAGGGGAAACATGAGCAATAGGTAACGGTATTTCACAGGTTTTGGGTCTGAATACATAACCTGCGCGACGTTACGGTAAACAATGCAATCTTATAACCCAAATAGTAACAGATGAAAACAGTTTTGCGAAAAAGAATAGTTGAATACCTATTTTGCTGCAGTGTTCCATTTTATGGTTGGTGATAATCGCCATAAATAAAACTATAACACACAATTGGGATGACAAAGCAGATTACACCATGAAGGAGTGCTATTACCCTTAATTTAAGATCTTATATTGGTAGTGGGCTCCTACACAAACCAAGCATCTTTGTGTGCTTGGAACTTCAATTGCATGCGTAAATTTATAAAAGACATGATGGTCTTTTCACATATGTTTTTTTAACAAGGTGTTTTAATTTGACTTCAGTACAGCTGAAGAGACAATAGTGATCATAACGATACGGTCCTGCTCGTTTAATTGGTAAGCAAGCCCTAAGAAATTCCCAGTAACACAGTCTATGACGTTGTCGTTGCAGGCGTACATAAATACTTTATCTTGGAAAGCGTATTTTTAAAGCCTCTCATGGTAACACAAAGTGTATTCTGACGCTTTGATTAACCGACGTTTTAACCACTTCACGATCAAATGGGTAGAATTCTCGCCATTCATCTTTGGCGGTCATCAAAAGCGTCAGGTATGAAAGTTTTTGCGTTCACCAAGAGCGCAGGTTTTCACTTTTTACCTACAAAAAGTTCACGGAGAAAGGTATCCTTTGGCAATCGATATAAATGTTCCCGCATAGCCATGTTACCCACAGTTGCACTATTATGGAGGCAATCGTGAAAAATGAATTCTAACCCAACCCATAAACTCCGTGTATACTGCAAACAACTTCTCTACCTCTAAAATAATATAATCTCCCAGTATGCAGCATCCACCATAACCGGTGAATGCATCAGATTTTCTGATTCAGTTAATGGTGAAAACATGAAGTCTACTCTTCTACCATTCTTCAAATTATGACACAGGCGTTTGAGTGATGCTGATGTACAAACTGCGGCTCTTGTTCCAATGTCTAGCACTCAACGTCGTGTACACGCGGTGCTGGTGAGTAGGAATTACCACAATTAGGCCACACATAGGAAGACTTTCTGATAGCGCTGTGTCCAACTGTTTTGGCTACCTATATTCTAAGGGTGACCTAAAAAGCTTACGGCGCCTAAAGTACCACTAGTGACAACCAATAGCTGATTTAACATGTTGGGACTAGTTTGTCCCATAGCCTCTGGTATTTCCTAAGGTGGAATTTCACTACTGCTTGCTTTTTTGTGGGCAGGTCCAGCAAGATTGAGAATCAGTTGGACTACCCTTATTGCTGATGAATCACATGTGAGGTTCTTGTACGACTTACTCGAGATGGGTTAATGTGGGTAGTAACTGGGTATTAATCATGCTTGATTCAAGATTTCCAATACGTGCCCAAAGGTTTGTTGACAGTGTCTACAGCTCTCTGGTTTAGCCGGACTGACTGGCTATTTTTCATGTGGGGTAGAGAGATTATGGGAACACAGTGCAATTTTTATAAGCAAAACAGCGATTAGGCAACAAGTGATACTTGGTGTTGTTGAATTGTAAGAGAATTCACACGGTTTACACTGTAAAAAAATGCTCAAGCCATCTGGAATCTGCGGGTAGTCATCAACCGTTTTTGTCTTTAGCAGGCAATTAGTAAAGACCAAAATGGCGATGGTCTTAGAAGTAAAAACTGCTGCAAATTGCAACTGACCCGTTTAAGGTCGAATTTCGCACCGCTTACTCAGACGGCCAATGTGCGGTTTGCGAAGTGCGGCAGGATCTACTGGCTCCGATACCTAGACTGTCACGTGCTGATTGTCTACGTCACAAAATGATATTATAAATTCTTTTAAAGGCTTCAAGTAACTCAGGGCTAATGATATCTTTTTCACCTGAAATTCCAGCTTCATGGCCCAGTATTGAGGATGGGTAACACGTTTATCCGGTGAAGGATCGTCTCTAGTGGATAAGTCTGTGAGCTCCGTATAGACCCAAATCTAGCCTGCCATAAATAATCCATTCACTTAGGAGAGTACAGATAGGATGACTGGACAGCTTTTAGCCCGGCCTAGCACTCTTCCACCCATACAGATCGGATGAGCTCCCCTTGCATCGTTGTGGCGAGCGGAAGCCGCCTGTGAAAATGTCTGAAAATGTTTGAAAAAATTGTCACATATTCGTCCAGCCTAAAACCGAAATTCGCCAGGACTTTGTGTTTACTGTTATTCGTGCCGACCGTTGGGGAATAAGTCAACGTTTCCAACTTCAATTCCCTTGGGAAGTTAACGTTCCTTAGATCTAGTGGTGTCGAGTAAACCGTTTCCATGATTTGACTTGCTTGAAAATGATTGCGAATGATATGTTGCCTTAGAATCATGTTTGCAGCCCATTTCAGCAAGCCACTGAAGTCGCCAAAAATATCCAGTTATACTTGGCGAGTTCACATTTTAAGCGGCTCAGTGACATGAAACTAAATATTTCACACACAAATGTTACGACAACTCATAGACATACAGCTGTGACGTTTGTTGCCCTTGTAAAAAACAAAATTTGATTGATACGCTTAAGAGAATCTCCAGAACCTTTAACATTTTTTCTAGTGATATGTTTGATTTACCTTCTGTTGGCGAGGTCCTAAGACGTTTGCATAATCCAGTGACCCCGTCGTATTTCCTTGTGATAACATCCAAAGCTTCCGCTCCACGCAATTGCATGAGGCCCTGGAGCTCTTGCATTGTGCAGTCAAACTTATCTCCAACGCCACGGGCATTTTGTATCGAGTGTCTGTCCCTCATTTTTGACAAAACCTCGTTCGGTAGAAGTGTTATGTGAGAGTTTGGGCACACAGATTCCAGAACCAGGGTTTCATACAATTCCAAAGCAGCATCCCACTAAATTAGGCAGAAGATGTCTGTTCCGCGTTATCGTGTTATCGTTCATAAATGGAAAATTTACACATGAGATTGTGACACCCGCTCTACACGATAACGAACACCATTTTGAACAGTCGCGGGAGAGTTCATCTCTACATTGAGGATCTTTATTCAGTTAAACAATTCAGTTCATTATTTATTTTTTGGAATTCATAGGATCGTAACATTTAACAAGGTAAACAGAATGACTCACCTAGGTATAATTAGTGTTTGTACATATCGACTATGCATTAGCTTAGGTTATCACACCCGTACAGTAAATGGCGAATAGCCGTAGAATTGTAGACAAGGTGTAGTTGCAAATTGGCGAAGGTTGCGGTATAAGTTGCTGGTACTGCAGGTCGTGTGCGGATTTTATTTGTAAAATTAATGTGAAGAGTTTAAAAATATTTTTATTCAAAACACCTAACAAAATACTAGGCAGGAAAACTCAAAGCTGATTCCTTGTGGAATTCCACGCCCCTATTAATGTGCTTGAAATCAGTTGGAACGGTAAAGCGGTGCTGTGGTGTAATGGCTTTCCATCCTCGTCAACGTTGCAGAGGAGTTGAAATTCGGCTATTGCTTTAAATATTTTACTTAAGCTTGCGTTCTGTTGGGATTACATGCCGGTGGGTTTCCGAAGTCTCGAGTATTTTGGTCAGTAGTTACTGTTCCGCTAGACAAATATTTCATGTGGAGGCCGATCGCAAGCCCCTGGAGTGAATCAACCTCCAGAGATCCTCTTGGAAGCCGTCAAGACCACAGGCTGGAGATGGGGCTCCTAAAAGCCTCACCGTCAAAATGGATCCCGGAAGGTTGGTGCAATTCCAGCGTCAGAATTCTGTATTGCGGAAGGTTGCAGCCACTTTGTTCGCTGGAAGGACTATTGAGAACGACGAGGGGGAGGGGGAATCGGAAAAGTTTCAGGGTCACTTCGATCGGCTGATTTTGAATGAAAGTGGCACGTTTTCCTGGAACGCCACCAATTCTTATATTATGCTGCACGTGATATCCCGTGCCCTGTTACGGGGGCTGGTATTCAATTGCCATACACAGGATGATCCAAGACGTACGACTTAGTTCTGCAGAGGACCTACTGGCCCGGGATGGGAAGTGAGTTGATGGATCATATGTTGTTCTGTAAGTGGAAAGTTGGGGACCTGTAGAAAATTTGACCACCGTCCAAGAGCGGACTAGAGAGAAAACGGCGGGTAGAAAGGCACGGCCATTCTCTGTTTGCGCGAAGTTCAAGTGGAAGGCTCATCAGTGTCCTGGAAGGAGTGGGCTGGGCTTTCGACGGAAAGGCCTGTTTGTCAATACCGACCGCCAGGGGTTGTCCGTACAATTCAGGAGCGCCGGGGACTGAAGAGGATAAATAAGACTAAGCTTTGGAAGTGGCATGATACACACAAAGAGTGGCCGAATAGGCAAGCTACTGGAGCTGACTTAACGGTTGTTAATTACGTGACGTAATTATTTGTTTCCCTATTCCTCAGACTAGTTCATCACCCTTCCGTGACTGCTTAAGTTTCAAGACTGAACCGTTCTATTTTATACAAAGCCGACTCTACCACAACCATTTCTATAGA